AATTTAATGAAAAACATTGCATTTGTTTGTATTTATTATCGAGCCAGAAATAGAAATAGGATAAAGATCGTGCATATTTCATTCTTTGTATTTTAATAAATCTTATGTAATAAACCATTAATGTTCCATCATCAGATTTTGCTTACGCGTTCGCCCCGCTTTGTTTCTCGTTTTATTTGTTCGATGGTTTTTTTTATAATCCTTTAAATTATGTACGAATGCATAATTAGTGCGCTCAATAGAATGCACATTATGGATTTTTTTAAACATGGCCTTGTCTGCTTGCTTGAACGTTGTCGTTTCGTTCTTAAACGAAAGCAAAATGTATCTCATGCGCTTATTCACATTGAGGCGACGCTCGTTGTTGTTTCTGTCATCATCGTCGTGGTTGTTGTTTTTCATATTGTTATTGTGGTGTTGGCGTATCGTTTCGTCAAACCGTGTATGATGCATTTGACGAATGATGTGTTGATGGTGCCGATGATATCTACACATTCATCCGTAATAACCGAAGCACACACAACAACTGTCTGACGCTTTATTTTCGCATGAGTGAAAGAAACACGCGTCTCGTCCAATTTGACACGCTCAAAATTGGAAAAATAATGGGAAAAGTTTTCATTTCTCAAAGCATATTGTTCTTGTTTGTCAGAATTGGAGCGAGCAAGAGAGAGACAACATAGTTGTCAGTTTCACTGAGAACTAAGTGAATTTAATGTGGTGTGCGCCCCGTGGATAATGCAAAATGATTCAGTTCACTGAAAATTGCAACAAATTTGGCACCGAACGAGCGCGAGAAAGTGTATGAACACATTCAGTACATGCAAAAGCAGTTAGAAATGTGAAAATCTACAACCAATCACATCTCGTGAGACTATTCTACCAACTAATTGTTGTGAAAGAGAACCGCCGAGTGAGATCGAGAAGAGTGGAAAAAAAAAGAAAACACTTGAACATCTGCTTTTAATTCCGAATGGTTGTGTAATTGCTTGAACAAAAGAAGAAGTAGAAAAAAATATGTAGCGGAAATTCGATTAAATTGAGTTCAAATTGTAATTTGTTTACAATTTATTTCGAAAGTAGATCGACTTGAGATGAGCAAAAAGAATATACACGGCGTGTATTACACGCACATAGACACTTTCAATTTACATTAATTTTTGTTGCAATGTGAATCGATTTTGGTTAACCGCAGCGAGGCAAAATCATTATCAATGGCAAATTGCTGGAGCAGCGAGCAGATAATATACCAAAACCAATAACATTTTTGTTTGCTGATGTATTTGGATCGACGCCAGAATGTCTTTCCACCGCGACAGACAATTTGACCTTTTTTCTCTATTTTCTCTCTCCTCTCCCCGTATATTTCTCTCTCTCTCTCTCTCTCTCTCTCTCTCTCTCTCTCTCTCTTTCTCTCTCCATCTCCATCTTCCTTTAGTTATTCATATGATTTGTTTATGCATACAGTTTGTACCGCAAGTCGTTTCACATACGTCAATAAATATGCATTGTAGGTTCCCGTTTATGTTGCACGGACCCTTTATTTTTTTTATTGATCTCATGCGGATAGAGGTGACGTCCGTGTAATTCCGCTTCAAATGTTTTTATATGTAATGCCATCCACATATGGAAGTAAATAAAATAAACAAAGCAATAACCGCAATTACTCAGTGCCAAAGATTATACAATGGCACTACTATCATAGGCGAGTGCATGTGTGTTGTGACATCGGGTACGTGGAATGGCTAGACATCGAAGGGTGATCCAATTATTATAATTAAACTTTCAGCTGCTGCTGTTTTATTAAATTGTTTCTTAGCGAGAATCGGATCTGGGTACATCGATTGATATTAGAATTATTATTTGTTTGGTTTGCAGGTCTTCTTTTTTTTCATTATAATCGATTGCCATTTTTGACGTCACTGTTCTTATTTTTAGTGCTATTCGCCCTTCTGTTGCTATTGACGAAGGCTCACATTTCAAGTGCAATTCACATAATCATCTTTAATTTGCTGTATTGGCGTTGAAAACATCTGTTCAAAGTGATGTAAAATCCAAATTATTAATGAGCTATCAAATGAATGGATTTTACCTTGAATTAACCTACGACACGCTGAGTCTGGATGCCATGAATAATTAAAGTAAGGTTTCAGTTGCATCATAAAATACCGCAAAAATGTGTTTGTGTAATTTGTGTAAACAATACACTCGATCGAGAACAGAGTCACTAAGCCGTTGATGCTGCTGCTGCTTTTACTGAAGTTATTAGCAAGATTGAAATCAGTTACTGCAACGATGCATGGGTGGCACGAGAAAAGGTTTTTTTTTACTCTGCTATGTTACGAAATTACCATTTGGATTGTAATCGCTTAATGAATGACGCAGTTGTCGCTCTCACACCGTGATTTATACTTTTACAATAACCAACATTGCGTATTGAATATACTGCAATACAAGCGAATACAAAACCAAACAAATGTGTCGATTGATAAATTTATCCGATTCGAAAACACGAACCGATAAATTTTCAAACTCTTTTGTTTCTCATGTGGTTTTTTATTCGAAATGTGAAGGAGGAACAGAGGACAGAGACGACAGAATCTAGAACAAATAACTTTGCGGCATCGATGCCATGGTTAACCAAAATGTTCATTAAACGAGAGTACTTGAATGCGGTGAACGCGTTGTATACATGAGTGACGACCGTATATCAGAAAATAAGCACGTATCGGTGGTTTTGATAGGTTCTCTCGTCATTCACTACATCTAATTCTAATAATATGCGATTGAAAACAATGCGATCGCGTTGGCGGGCTATAGCAGAGCGATGGTGGTTGTGATGGTGTGTAGAATCTGTAGATAGTTGTATCGATTTCTCGGTATGGGCTTTGAAATGCGATGAAATACATTTCGAACATCATTGGCACTTGAGTGACTAAAACCCGATTCAAATTACGCTTATATTTATTATATTGAGTATTATATCGCGCTCCTTTTTTTGTGTTCGATATATGTGGTGTGCGCGATTGAAATTTGCATGATATTTCAATTCACACCCAAGTCGCGTTCTCACCAGCGGCGATAACCAATTTTGATTAAATTGTTGTTATTAAATTCATGTATATGATCTCAACACACATGAATACATGAGATGTTCTGCCAAAATTAAATGCATGAAATCATTTTCGTCTTAGTGTCGATTCACATTCCATATTTTAAATTATTACATTAATTTACACACGTTTTTTTTTGTTCCGTGTACTTGCCACAAACAATCGAATATTTTTTAATATTGACGATGATTTCGCAAAAAAAACGACCCATCTCATTCGGATTCTACACAAAATTGCTTTTTTATTCTTCTTCAATTTTAATTCAAGTTGTCGTCATTTATTTCAGATCATTTCCGGCAGACGTTTTTTTTGCACAATGACTTTTAGTTGAATGGCTGCAGTATTTCATTCGATTAAAATGTTTGCAATGAAATTTGTTGTTGCTAAATGTCAAAACATGGACACAGTTTTAGCAAAAGGTCGAACCAAAGATATTTGAAATTTACGGATTTGATTGGCGCTATTCATACATGCGAATGACTTAAGTCTCAAAACATGTTTTCTTCATTCATTTAATTGTCTTTTTGTGTCACATTGTTGCTTCGATTTAAACAAAAATGTTGTTTTTCGAACCAAAATTAAAGCAAAACCAAAAGAAATATAAAGACAAACTTGAATTTGTTCCGTAAGGTGAACGATAATTGTATCGATTAATTGTCGAATTGACTACAAGTTCTAAAGTCCATATAACCATTTTACCAGCTTAAACCATTTTTTCGGGAGTTTGAGAGGTTTTTTCTTCACAACAAAACAAATAACATCCTTTAAGGAAATATCTTGTCACTCTTTTGTAATAATCAAGTTCACTAGACAATGCGCACAATAAATGGGTGTAAATAGATTTATTTTTAGCTATTTTTCAACATAACAAATACCAAGCAGATGATAATATAGAAATTGATGGAAATGAAATTGACGTAATAGAGCTATTTGTCGGAATATAGATGATGAAAAAGAGATGACGACGAGAAAGATGAATAAGATCGGTTGAAAACAATTTTCACTGAAGTTGAATGTTTTGCAACTGAACAAGGAAGCTGAGGGGTTGAAAGGGACTACAACCTGATATCGTTCTTTTGGTTTTGAAATTCAAAGAGCCAAGTGAATTGATGCAATGGAATTGAAGACGAAAATAGCATATCGCAATGGAAACACGCATAAAAACAAGCAAAAGGAGGAGGTAATTGTGAATGAAAAAACACAACAACAACAACAACGAACACTGCCAGTATAAATAAGCAGTATGGATCGAATACAGAGAACGAATGAATGAAAAAAGCGAAATAGAATAACAAACGTGAACTAAATAAAGGATAATTTATGTGATTCCCACATCAGGATCAAAGGTATGTATTATTACACATCACATTCATTGAGAATAACCAAAATTTCATTCTATTTTGTTCTCTATTTGTTGTCCTATTTTCTCTCTATAAAATCTCCATTGCAATTCGTTTCAAAACTGAAATCGATTCACTTCCAGGATCCCAAAGAAAATAAAACCCATTCTCTTTATAATCCCCATCAACTGAAACGTTCTTCCATTCAATTTCGATTCTTCTAATCAGTCTAATGCATCCGAACCGTTTTGCAAAGCAACCAGAGTGGGAGTAGAAAAAAAAGAACGGTCTCAATTAATGGCGTGGAAAAATGGAAAGAAAAGCAAATAAAAGCAGGTTGAAAATGGATGGCAAATGTTCGGTTGTCCGCAATAAGCGATTACTCACGTACGACGACAATGTCAACGACGAGACCATTTAGATTTAAAGTTTAGATGGAGATTTGCATCGAATTTAGAGATGTGACATAACAATACAAAAATCCACACAGTGACTACAAAACAAATTGTCTGTCACAAAACATGCAGAATAACAAGAAATCACTTACCTAAATCTGTGTCGCAAAGTACCATTTTGCTGTTTTCGATGCTTTTGCTGGTTTTACACAATAACACAAACACAAGCAAACGATCTTGATAATATTGAATGTTGTCGGGTTTTGAATTTCCGACTTTCTAGCTGTCTCTGTGATCTTTTCCGCCACAAACAAATTGTATTTGTTTTTCTTTCTCTTTCAGTTTCGTGCACAAAATGCAATGAGTTTAATTGTCAGTTTGATCCAATGAACCAAAATGCGATTACACAAGTTTACTGTTCTATGATGATTGCATAGAGCACTTAACTCAAATGCGTCTGCTTATCTATGTTCTTTTCTCTCTCTATCGACTCAATGTACCAGAAACTTTTCTCTATTTTTGGACGCACTGGCCATTTGTATACACACTTTGTTATTCTTTCTGTTTAATGTTTACGTTCAATGGTTGAAAACGAAATTGTGTTGTGCAGATAAAAACATCTCCCGTAAAATGATTGCATGTGCACAGAATTTGACGAAAAAGTCAATTTCAAAATTCACTGATGTAGTTTACCCAAAAAAATCACTTTACTGCTTCACAAAAATGTCGTTTGTGTGAAACCCCATAAAAAACTTTTTAGCAATTTGCTGAGTTGGTCGACACCGAAATGTGTACGATGAATGTTTTCGGTTGAAACGTGTATTCACATCTGCAATGAAAATCGATCATCCTGAACATATGCTCAATGGTTTCGACACCAATTTCAACATTACAGATGCATGTAACACTGCATTCCGTGCTCGTGCGTTCTCTCCTCAAAAAAAATATATGCTTTGTTGGTCTTTGGGGCGGGCGCCCGTGGTTTTTTGGTGTGTTGTTTTTAACGTTGCCGACAATTTTTACGGCATACTTTTAATTAATCTCCTGATAGCACTCAATCTTATGCCATGCATTCGCGTACACACCGCGCATTTATGGTGTATGTGCAAATGGTAAGTAGAGACGTTAGAACCGTGTTATGTTATTTTGATGCACACCAACCGAAATATCATAAAATGACTATGTAAATATTTAATGTATACGCAATGTTATTATTTTCGTTTGCTTTCTCCTTGCTTGGTTGTGACTTTTTTGGTGATGAACAAAAAAAAAGAACGAAACGAGCGACGATGAAAACAAGCAAAGACAACGAACTTGCATCAATATTTTCGGGTTTATGCGTATCTCGACAATTCTCTCGCTGTGCACGCTTTTATATGTCGAGTTGAGAGAATTTTGTGTACGGTTTTCAGATTTGTTTTTATTGTTATGGATTAAGGGCGGTGCCAAAAAATGTATCGTTATTCAACACAACCAACGTATAAATTTATTTTATGATTTTTGTTCCGTTCTCAGTTTTTATTTTTATAAATTCTATGCCGTGTCTTCCTTCTCGATTTTGTTGTTTGTTTTTTCGAATTTCAATGTTCAGTATTTACTTTTTTGATAAAAAACACATTAACCTTTTATGGAAGATGCATTCGAACAACGTTATACACACTTTTACTGACTTACTTCACTGCACGATACTTAAGAGTTTGTTTCGGTTTATATTTGCTTATCACTTTTCGAACTCTTTCCTTTTAAATAGTAAATGCTATCAATTTTTCAATTGGCCTTTCTGTTTATTTTAGATTGACTTGTTTTGATCTGCGATTTGGTTGTATGTCTGTTTTGAAATGTATGTGAAATGCGGTTGTGCTGCGATCAAATATCGATCACAAATCTGCCGCTTTTAATAATCACTCATGCATTGAAGGCTACTCAACCTCAGTCACTGGTGATAACGATACGTTGAATTCTAGGCGCAAGTAAACATTCACTAAAATTTTTGAATTTCATAAATAACACTTCCGCCGAATTTCGCTATCAGAAAACACAATTTTCGTTTTAAAATGTTTATCTATTCCAACGAATTTTTTATCGAAATCACAGTCGAATCTACAAAAAAATTGGTTTGAAAAATTCGACCAACGAACAAAGCAACGTAACTGCTCCGCACAACAACTGACTAATGACTAAACCGTCTCTCATATGCTGGACGAATTCATATGCCGCAACACATAAAAATCATACGATGAGTGATTATTCATTGACATTCGCTGGATGAGTGCATTTTGTTTGAGTTATTTCTCAGCGAGGCACGCAATTTTCTGTTGAGCACGGAGTCGAATGAGTTAAAATATGAGTCATTTTCAGAGATGTAAATATATTCATTCAATTTTTAGACTTTTAAGCTATTTTGTTTTTAATGTGATTAATACGGCTTCTAAATGGAAAAATTCATAAAAAAATCGTAAATTTTGTATGAAAATCATCAATTTCATTGATTCAAAACGTCGATTATATTTTGAGTTGAGTACACTGCTTTTTTGAGCGAATTTGCGCAATGTCACTTGATCACAATGAAATAAAAAAAAATTATGAGCAACAGTCAAGAAATATGATTGATTCAAATAAAAAAAGCAACTAATGCCCCAATTCTTTTAAATTTACCAAGTTCTGAATTGAATTATTTGAATGAAATGAATGTAAACTTAAACTTAAATTTTCAAATAGCCCGCCGTAGCTCAAAAATACACCAAGCTCAAATTCACTCCGTCAAGAAATTTGGGCTTTCATTGACAGTTGCTTGTCGTAGGAAATTTGTCATTTATCGAAATAAATGTAAACAAATAAAAAAGTGGAACGAAAATGCATTATTCATTGTTTCAGTCAGTGTTTCCAATAGAATTACAATAGTCCTACCCAGAAAAAGTATTTTTTTTAGTGTAAAATGATGGATGCCGTGACTTATAAAGAATACCATGAAAGTTTTATGAAAAATAACAATGGTTCGACGATTGAAGATGTATTTATTACGGTGATTCCAACATTTTTCACAACATTCCTGGCCACAAATATAATTTTTGTTGCTCAACCGCTTGGAGTGATTTCGACATTTATCATTGAATTCATTTTCATTGTAATTTCAACTGTTCTTCATGTTACCATTTTAAATTATCGAATATGGGAGATTGCATTAACTCTTTTGTGTGTGACAATAACAGCAGCTGCCAAGCAGATTTATGGCCGTATTCATATTGCACCATTTGTTCAAGTGCCATGCCAGCGTCCAGAATATTTGAATACATTTCGGGCTGTCATAAATCTAACCACCGCAATCTGTATACTGGCCGTCGATTTCAAATGTTTTCCCCGAAAATTGGCAAAGACTGAGACTTTTGGATTCGGTTTAATGGACACTGGTGTCGGCCTATTTGTATTTGGTAATGGATTGGTGGCACCTGAATTGCGTAAAGCAAGTGACAGCAGTCGTTTGACATGGAAAAAAGTGGAGAAAACCATCAAAGGCTGTTTGCCGTTAGTGATTTTGGGCGCTGTTCGATTCGCTGCAACAAAAGAAATAGACTATCAACAACACATCAGCGAGTATGGTGTTCATTGGAATTTCTTCTTAACACTGGCCTGCACGAAATTCTTTGGAACCATTCTGCTGGGTATTTTGCCACATTTTGAGTACCTCAAATATCTGTCGATAGCTTTGTTATTTTTACACGAACTATGTTTACAACTTGGCGTCGCCGATTACATCATCGATTCAAACAACCAGATAAAACGTGATAATTTCCAAAATGCCAATCGCGAAGGTATTTTTTCAATTTTGGGCTATGTTTCATTATATTTGGCATCGGTTTATGTTGGCTATCGCTTGAGAAAAGTGGACATTATTTCGGAAAATAATCGAAATGCACCCGTTTTTACAAATGTTCGTCAATTATTTTGGAAGACAGTGCGATTACTTATTGTGGCAGCCATTTTATGGAAAGTTACATACATTTTGAAGAATATGTTTGGCGTTTCACGGCGCATCGCTAACATGGGCTACGTTTTTTGGATTTTATCTATTGGAACAACGATTATTGTTTGCTTTATGCTACTGGAAATCTTTTACTATTTTCGTGCTTTCGATCGACCCATCACAGATGAAGACGACGAAAATCCAACGGAGAAACGGAATTATGCGCCAATCATCTTGAGTGGCATCGTTTATAATGGACTCGTATTCTTTTTGCTGGCAAATCTTATGACTGGAATCGTTAACCTGAGCTTTCAAACATTACTTCTGAGCACATCACAAGCATTGACAATTTTATTTATTTATATGTTTGCTCTTTGTACAATTACCACATTTTTATATTTGAAGAAAATTAAATTAAAAGTTTGGTAATCATTTTAATATTTAAACGCACATCGTAGTGCTTATATGCTGATTTTAAGAATATATATGTAATTCCAAATGAACAAAGATTGACTAATTAATAGTATTAATCGTTTTAGAGTCAGTTGCATAGATTGAATGTAGGCAATGCGTTATAAAATAGACCAAAATATTTGTGAAGAAAATAGTGCAATACAAGTATAGCAAAATAAACTAGAATCAAAGCATAATTAATAAAATAAAGTTGATCGAGACCAATATAAAGTAGAAACTGTAGAAAATGTTTGTAGAAAATTTAAATGACTATAATAAAATGTGTTCCCAAAAAGATAGGAAAAAATTGAATAAATTTGCACATTTATTGCAATTAATTTTATTTTTTTTTTACATTAATTCGACACATATAATCACATTAAATAAAAAATTGTTTCGCAATTTGCATTTTAAAAATATAAATACTTAATGTTTTTAGTTCAAGAATTTTTTCAATATATAAGCAGCCAAAATAGATAAATGTGATGATCTTTCTGTGAGATTGCGAACATTCAACAATAGCAAATACATTTACAGTTCATCGTGCACGCTATCAAAGTTGAACAATACAAATTTTTTAAATTCATCATGATTCAGTACATAATCAGCAGCTTTATCGACTAATCGTGTAAACTCATGCTCATCGAATGAGTAGTTTGTGAATTTTGCATGACCTCCGCCACTCGGATGATGACCCTGAAAATAGAAAATTATTTGAAACCAAAATGATTAATGAACGACCGGATCGAGCCAAAGGTCAGTATGACCTATGTCAAACAAGGGGCAAATTACTACAAGAACGTAATTCATCTAGTACATAAAAAATTCAATTCAATTCAATATAATTCTATGTCAATACAATTTAGTTCCAACTAATTCATAATGTTCTAGTCCTGCACAAATTGTCAAGAGAACAGTCATATAGCAGCGCTACTACTGAAAACTCACATTTTTTTGTGTCTGTGTACATGATTGCTCGAATGAGTGAGCAAATGTATGGAATATGACAGTAGTTTCGAAAACAGCCATCGTATTCATCGTGAAACTATACAACACGATTCTAGTTTGTGACAAATCAGGGGTGACTGACATTACTCCCACTCTTTCCGTTCCGTTCCGTTTCCGCGGAGTTTCCGTTCCATTTCCGTAGAAGTTCCACAAAAGATCCGTTGAAATTCCGTGGAAGTTCCGTGGAAGTTCCGTTGAAATTCCGTAGACATTCCGTAGAAGTTCCGTAGGAATTGTAGCTGTACACATCGCTCACACTGCGTTTGGCTGTTAATTTTTTTTTAAACAAATTGTTTACTCACGGAAATACGGAACTTCAACTCAAAACCAAACGACGATATTGAAGCAAGACAAATGCGGCATAATAAAAGACGAAAGGCTAA